AACCTCCTGTAAAGTATTTCCATGTACTTTACAGTAATTTACCTCCACACATTTTGCATGAGTTACTTAGACTTAGACTGTACTTTATTGATGAAGACTCCCTCCGGAAATTAAGGTTACCAGCAGCTCACAGGGCAAAAAATGATTAAGTTAAATTAAGTTAAAATTAAGCAAAATACAAATAAATATGGAGTTCACATTTAACAGAAAAAATAAAAACTCTATCCCACGTGTCATAAGAGTAGTAGTAGTTTATTTTAGTTATTTTATCTTTTTTTGTGCAGCACTTTGGAAACCTTGTGTTTATTGATTATCGTGCTATATAAATAAAGTGGATTGGATTGAACTTGATTGATCTGAAAGGTTCTTATTTGCTGTGTGAGTCGTGTTGTTTCTAGAAGCACTAAAGTGGACTTTGTTTGGATTTAAAAAATCACAGCCACCCTCTCACTGGTCCAACACTTCCTGCTTTCCCCTCCCACACTCTATTACACCATGTGTCTGAGCTATTATTGGCTCAACGGAAAGGCCTCCTTCCAGGTGTGTCATGCTGAAACTAGCTCTGCCCTGTGGCCTCCCTACTTTCTCCTTTCTCAGCTTAGATCTGCTTCCACTCTTGACCTCATTGAAGCTTCAGTCTAGAGGGAGGAAATGTTGCTGAGCTGCTTTTACCACTGAGATGCAAAAAAAAAAAAAGAAAATTCTCCCCTTGAGTTAAAATTGTTTTGGATCCATAGTAACCTACTTGTTGCACACTAGCTGGTGAAGAGGACATGTCCACCGCCTGTAACTGGAATGTTTCTGCTCCAGTTAACCCTGCTATATGTTTTTTGGCTAAACAATGGGGGGCTTTGGGAGCGAAACGCAGTGATGTCACAGGGATCCAACAGCATGCCAGGCATCTTTTGAATGTTTCACATAGAAGGACATCTCTACAGGCAGATTAGAAGCGTGGGGCTTTTTTTTTTTTTGCAGCTTGATGGATAGAAGCAGAGGATTTTTGTGAAATGTGTAATTGCGGTGATATGGGTCCATCGGTTGTGGACGCAGTCGAGGATTTGAGGAATATTCAGCAGTCCTTGTGGGAAGTAAGTCCAACAGGCTGTGTTTGTTTCATCGCTCATGGCGGTCTGATAAGAAGGCCTATTCAGTCCTAACTGATGGAAAGTTTGCTTAACTGTTTTTCTTTTTTAAATGTTTAAAAAAAGGTTTGGCAAAGCGATTCAAATAGAGCTTTAATATAGAATAATTATTGTTGATTTGCTTATAAATATATAAATTTGAGAAAAGCGGCCAGAGTTTGTTGATTGATAATTATTTGCTAAATGAAACCTTTTAGTCTAACTAAGAATTTACACAGCTTTTAGGAAATTAAAGAGACCAACAGTTTTTCTTTGGAAAAAAAACAAACAGAGGAGCGAGTCTTTGTTTTGCTTATTCTCAAGTTGTCATCGATTTGCTCTCCGTGTTATTTCTATGCACTGTTATTTTATAACTTTGTTGCCGAGCAACCCTGGTGACTCATTTCCATGTGTCCTATCTCTGCAGCTGCACAAGCTGCTCACAGACCTGCCAGATGACATGCTGGAAGACAGCAGAGACTCCTCCTCCCCTGAGCTGGAGAGCTCTACCTACAGCCGTAAAAACACCGGCAACAGGTAACACATGTTGCTGTTGACACATCAGTCGGGTTTGGTGAAGTTAAGGTGTGGCTGAGAGCATAGAGAAGCTGCAGCGTATCACAGTGATGTGTTTTTACCTTCATTCAGCCCTCAGCCAAAGTGGAACCAGGATTGGTCTGATCATGTACAGCCAACGTCTCATGCACAGGTTGTCTTTGACTTCATATTGATCACTTTCTAAAATAAAAATAAAATAATAAAAACTTTTTGATGCTTTGCTGTCTCCCTGAAGGCCTCTGAAGTTGGCTCACATGATGAGTACGTCTATGAGGATGGTCCTGGGTATCCTAACGGACATCTGAGTCACCCTCCTAATCCATTACTGCCTCACGGATGGAACCGGGATCATCACTTTGTTCAGGAAAATCAAACACGCACAAACATGGACTCAGATGATTACGCAGAGACCGGGGATTATCCTGCAGAGTGTGAGCCCATGTTGTATCCTGAAAGCACCAAAAACCATGTGGATTATAACGGAGACGGAGGCTACAGCAATCACCATGGGGACCACGGCAGCAGAAGCCATTTCCAGGTGAGTGAACCAGTTCAACAATGATCAGGATTCTGTGCTTTCATCCGTGCCGGGTCTGTAGTTGCGTCTGTGTTAGCTTAAACATTAAAAGCTGGTTTGAAATTATGCGGTTTTAGGAATTATGCATGTAACTGGGCTTTACCTTGTGCTGCAAATAAAAAAAGAAAGGCCCTTTTATTTATTCTTCAGTTTAAGTGATGTTAAAAATTGCGAGGTTTCACCTAAAAAGTACAATTTTCTTTCCAAAAAAAGTTATATAT